TGCAGTAGGTTCTATTCAATAGAAATTAAAAGAAGGAATCGGTCTTCTGCCTGGCAAACTGCCAATGCAGCTGTTGGCTCGACAAAGTCTGGATGCTCCTCCATTCTAGTGAGGATGGGAGTATTTTTGTTTCCAGTGCAGCATGCGTTCACAGTGATGATCTAGAAAGAGTTTGGCTCCTGGTTGGGTGCTGGCACAAATACTTCATTTTGTCAGGGACCAGAACACTGGCAAGTTTTAAGGTTTTGTCATGTGGGAACAGTTGTGAAGAAAAGAAAAGTGAAACCAGATGTTTGTTTCTTACAGTTGCTTCATATTCATGTGAGAGAGGGGAGAAAGACCATAAAAATGTCATAACCTTTGATTCTTGAGACTCAGAGTTACACTCTGTGAAACCTAGTGCTATACATTCCCGCCTCTCTGCAGTTACGGGTTCCGAAGAGACAGGACAGTTGTGACACTTCTGGCATTTGTGTGTGTGTGCATGTAACCTGGAGGAAAAAGTACTTTGAGAGTTAAAGCTAACATGCTATTTTTTTTATCAGATCTGCTGCATGTAGAATTTCCATGGAGAGTGCTGAGAGTGCTTAGTATATTTGGAAATTTGGTCTGAAAGTGCCTTGGTCAGATGTCGTGAGTGACACAAGAGTAGTGTTGCCAGGAAAATTCTCTTTTCACTGCACAGCAGAGAGATGGCACATTATATTCTGAATTCAGAAACCAAAATAACTTTGAAGAATGTGAGACAACAGATGGGGGGAGGGGGGTGTTGTGTGCGTGCCCCTGTGCGTGCGCATATCAAGCCAAACAGAGATTTAAACAGAAAACATGTAGGCGCAGGAAAACCTTTTCTGTAATGCACCATGACTACTATATGATTCACTCCACAAAGTTGTCTTTCTTGATCTTGTCTATTTTAGGGATCTAAGTGAATTGTCGATTACCTGATAAGCCCAGTCGCTTCCTGCCCCCTTGCCGCCTCTGTATCGGGGCGGCCTGAGGTGAGCTTTCCAGGGCGCAATGAGCGGTCGGCGCCCCCGCCTCCACAGCCCTCAATGGCGTGATGTCATCATTGGGCGCTCGTTTAACGCGGTGCCCTAGGCAACGGCCTAGTCGGCCTATACGCATGGGCCGTCCCGAGTGGGGAGGAGGAACCGGTGCTGGGGAGGAGCTGGCTTAAAAGCCAGTTCCCACCAGCACCGTTTCCGAGGGGGAAACAGGGGAAGCAGAGGCACAGCAGGGGAAACGGTACAAGTGGGGACCGAAGCAATCCCCACTCACTCAGGGTCCTGACTGCTGCACCTCTCCCTTTGAAGGGTTCAGGAGCCCACAACTCTTGTACATTTCAAAGTGAGAGGCGCAGCAGTCGGGATGCCATGTTGGTGCGGACTGCTTCAGTCCCCACTTGCGCAGGTTCCCAGCTGCGCTTCTTCCTTTGAAATGTATAAGACCCACAGGCAGCTCTTGTACATTTCAAAGACAGAGGCGCAGTGGGATAACGAGCACCCACCCTTATCGACTAATTGAGTAGTCGATGGAAATTCCATTGACTACTCAATTAGCTGATTAATCAAAATTTAACAACCCTAATCTATCTTGCTCAGAAATATGTTTTGAATATGATGAGATATGTAGGAAGGGCAGTCCATCTGATCAGAATAATATCAATTCTTTGGTTGTCTTCTGTAACTGGAGATGGTCTGCGCCACCAGGTTTGGTCCTGGATCTTAATTCACCCCCAAGTTCAAGAGTAGACAGATCCATTTCCCTAGTTGTAATATGTCTGTGTTTTGACTTCTGACATACAAGCCTTTTAGGGCAGGCATGTTAGTATAAAGTACAGTGTATAGTTGCACTACAACTACCAGGAATCAGTACTTAGAAAAAATACAAGATGAGAATAAGGAAAAATAGTTTAATGGATACAGCTTTAGACTAGTGTTCAGGAGACCAAGGTACATTTCCTGGCTCAGCCATAAAACTTCACTGTGTGACCATGAGCAAGTCACTTAGGGTATGTCTAGACTGCACGCCTGTCGACAAAGCCTCTGTTGAAAAAGAGCGTCTAAACTACAACCAGTACTGTCGACAAAGCAAGCCGCTTTTTTGAAAGAGGGTTTAGACACTCTCTTTCGAAAAAGCACAGTTTGCATGCAATAGTGCCTTTTTTCAACAGAGTACCATCGAAAAAAGGTGTTATTCCTCGTAGAATGAGGTCTACCGCCATTGACAAAACTGCCGCATTCTGTCAACTTACTGTCGACAGAACGAGGTGGTAGTGTAGACGCAGGTATAGTTTTGTCGACAAAACCCTGTAGTCTAGACACACTCTTAGGGTATGTCTACACTACCCACCTTAGTTCAAACTAGGGTGGCTAATGTAGTCATTCGAACTTGCAAATGAAGCCTAGATTTAAATATCCCGGGCTTTATTTGCCTGTTCCGGGCACCGCCATTTTTAAATGCCCTGTAGTTCGGACTCCCTGCTCACGGATACACACGGTACGGGATGGGTAGTTCCAACTAAAGCCCCTAATTTGGACTACTGTTACTCCTCCTGCAATGAGGAGTAACGGTAGTCCGAATGATGGGCTTTAGTTCGAACTACCCAGCCCATGCCACGTGTAGCCGCGGGCAGGGAGTCCGAACTATGGGGCATTTAAAAATGGCGGCACCCGGGAACATGCAAATAAAGCCCGGGATATTTTAATCCCGGGCTTCATTTGCAAGTTCGAATGACTACATTAGCCACCCTAGTTTGAACTAGGGTGGCTAGTGTAGACATATCCTTAGTCTCTCTGTCCTTCAATTTTCCATTTATGCGATGAGTATGATACCTCCCAATGTCATAGCGATGTCATGAAGAATGTTATTACAGTTATTACAGCGATGAAGGCAATGTAAGGCTATGTCTAGACTTCACAGCTTTTCCAGGATCCCAGAAAAGCAATGCCGCATCAAAGGAGCACATCCTCTTTTTCGGAATTTTTTTTGAAAAAGTGGGCACACTTTTTTGCCATCCCTGTAAACCTCATTTTACAAGGAATAAGGGATGTATTAAAAAGAGCACTTTTCCCCGAAATGTGGTGCCGTATAGATGCTCCAAATTTTGGAAAAGCCTCTTTTGACAGTAAAGTGGAAAAAGATATGCAATTTACGTACCTCAAATTGCGTTTCTTTTTCCATCTTACCTTTGCAGTGTAGACCTAGCCCAGGTATCTATTTGGACTTCGTACTGAAAGCTAGGTTTTGCATACAACCTAAATTATTAATATAACTGAAAATGGGCTTTCACTCACACTGAATATTTAAAAATGTACAATGAGACTTAGGGAAGGAGGATAGAAGGTGGAATTCTAGATAATGCTGAGAGCTGGGTTTTTCTTTTATATTGCTGCTCCTGCCTCTGTCTCTACTCCTGGAGAGTAGTTTGAAGTCATTAGTAAAGAATGGCCATTAGACTCTTACTAGTTTTCCTCCTGGGGTTTTGTTAAAGTCTTTTTCTCTCTTCTCTCCTTTTAGTGTTACTTTAGGACTGTGCAGTAGAACTCCTCCAGGATTAAAAAATAGTCATGCTGCAATGCAAGTGTTGGGAGATGGGAGAGTTTGCTGTGGCAACCTGATTAGCTGGGATGAAATGATGGTGGGAAAGAGAACGAGGGAGCACAATGTTCTTTTCTTTTTATGGAAAGTGATATATTACTGTAGACCACAGTAATCCAAGGTCTGCTCTTTGCAACTTAGCGATTTGCAGACAGCCCCCATTTGTGCGGTACTGACCATGTGTGCAGCTGTGGTGGACAGAGGGGTGTCAATTAATCTTGATTTGTGCTATGGATTACATTATCCGAGAAGAAATTTATCATCATATTGAGTTGCAATATGTGTAGATGAACATCGTATTGTATGTGTGGGGAAAGCACAGAAATGTGCTGTTGCATACAATGCACTTGTTCTTACTGGAATTGTTGTTATAATTGCATGGACAAAGCCCCTTTCTTCTTGAGAGCCCTGGTCCAGGTTTGCAAACTTGTAATATCACTTTAGACAAAAATGTTCCTCTGCAAAATGTTTTGCAAATACAACATTGAACATTCCGTTCTCACAACAGCATTATGCCCATTTTAGAGGTGAGATAAATTAGGGCTTCTTTAATGAATTTTCTCTCTATATGTATTAAAAAAACTTTTCCTGCGGGACAACAGAGTGATGTAATCACATCACTCTGAGTCCCACAGCCCCCCCTCCCCTCCTCCCCGCAGCTAACCCTGCAGGGTTCAGCAACCTGTGGCTCCTGAGCAGCAGCACTGAAGGTAAGTTGCTGCTGCTGGACTTGTGGTTGGGAGAGGGAGGACCAGGATTGCATGGAAAGCTTGTGGGGGGAGCATCAGCATCAGCAAGGTCCATGGGCGGGGAGGGGGGAGGCTCAGACTGGGGGTCAAGCTGCACTGGCAACAGAGCCCTCAGGAGAGGGGCAATGGAAAGGCCCGCAGTGTGGGGGGGTGGACTGAAGGTAAGTTGCTGCTGCTGGACTTGTGGTTGGGAGAGGGAGGACCAGGATTGCATGGAAAGCTTGTGGGGGGAGCATCAGCATCAGCAAGGTCCATGGGCGGGGAGGGGGGAGGCTCAGACTGGGGGTCAAGCTGCACTGGCAACAGAGCCCTCAGGAGAGGGGCAATGGAAAGGCCCGCAGTGTGGGGGGGTGGCGATGAGCACCGTGGCGGGGAGACAGGGGGGGGCAGCGGAGGAGCTGT